TCTTTTTCTTCTTGCCCCAGGAGCTTCTTATGTTTGCGTAACGCAATGGACAAAACCAGGCAGAGAAGTCCACAAGGAAATGATAGCCATGGTTCACTGTGATTAGCCCCTTGGTTCATCATCTTCTAAGCATTTATTATATTTTTAAAAATGCTGTTAGGCATTTATTTTGGTAACAAATGCAATGCAAGTGTGAATAAATTAATGTATTACTTTTTCACACACATTCTGCGCCCCCACCCCCCCATGTTCCTTTAAATCGAAAAAAGTGCTAAATGTCTCTCATGGCCTATTTGGCCATAGTTGCCCCATCTGTGGGTTTTTGGGTTTTTTGTGGTTTTTTTAGAGGGTTTTTTTTGTTTGTTTATTTTTGGCGGCTGGCTGGTCTACCTATGTTTTTTTTATTGTTTGGTTTTTTTCTTTTCTTTTTTATTCTTTTATTGTTCTTTTTTTCCTTTCTTTTTTGCAAATGTGGTTTTTAAAGCAGACTATAACTTGGTCTCCTGAAATCCGTCTTGGACTGCAGCTACTAAAGAAGTCCTATTGATATTGTCGATAGTTTCCAAAAGGTGAGGATGAGGATGGTAACTGGATTAAAGGCTAGTGTAAAGGGTCTTCAGCAAACTGAGAACCACTGGGAAACTGCACAGAGGCAAATCTTATCAACAGGATACCAGTTTCTTCAATTAAACCTAGGAGAATACCACCCCTCGTGGCTGACCCTACAACCATGGCCACTGGGCCATTTCTTGCTGCCAGTATGGCTCCTGTTAAGGCACCACTGGTGATGGAGTTCCAGGCTCTTATTTCCCTTTGACCTGAACCATACTGCAGTTAGTCATGGGAAGTGGACCTCCCCACACTGCAAAGCTATCTCCTCCTTGTGGAGCCTTGATTTTAATATCTATCAAGAGTTCCGGTCAGGGCTGAGCCCGTCGCATACTCGGGAGAGTGCGGCGCTGGGAGCGCAGCGGCGCTGGGAGTGCAGCAGCGCTCCCGCTGCGGGTTCAGATCCTATATAGGGATGACCTGTGCGCTCACAACGCTCACTGGCTGAGCGCGGTGCAGCCGGTCTCCAAAAAAAGGGCAAAAAAAAAAAAAAAAGAGTTCCGGTCAAGATGGCATAATAGATGGTCCCCAGTGTCACTCTCCCACAAATCAACCAATTTACAACTATGAAAATGTAATGACAGCCAAGCTTGAGCCACTAGAGCTCAGGGGAAGAAGAGGAGAGACCTACAGAGTTCATGAAGGCGGGAGAAGCCACAGTGAGAGAAAGAAACTGCTCAGAGTGTTTCAGGCCATGGGCGCTTTAAGGCTAGAGCTGCTGAGCACATGGAGCAGGAGCAGCAGAAGCCACAGCTGTGGCCTTTGGATGGAGTTGCTTGGAGGCGGCACGGGAGAAGAGGGCCTTGGTGGCCCCCAGGACAGCAAGACCACTTATAGGGTTCCAGTGGACCCATACAGGAGCGAGGAGCCAGAACAACTGAAAAAAGGAGCTGGTGAGTCATTGCAAGGGACCAGCACAGGGCCATCCCATGGGAAGTGTTTGGAGCATCAGGAATACAGAATTGAATGGGGTGCAGTTTGATGAAAAGACTCAGGCCCAGATCAGAGTTTCTTTCTTTTTTTAAAAAAAGATGACCGGTAAGGGGATCTTAACCCTTGGCACAGTTTGATGAAAAGACTCAGGCCCAGATCAGAGTTTCTTTCTTTTTTTAAAAAAAGATGACTGGTAAGGGGATCTTAACCCTTGGCATGGTGTTGTCAGCACCACGCTCAGCCAGTGAGCTAACCGGCCATCCCTATATAGGATCTGAAACCCGTGGCCTTGGTGTTATCAGCACCTCGCTCTCCCGAGTGAGCCATGGGCTGGCCCTCCCGATCAGTTTCTACACAACCCAGGGGCACCAGGTCTCTGTAGAGCCAGAAGTACCTGTAAGGTCAACCATTAAACCCTGAGCTGCACAAAAACCCTTCCATAGGGAAACAGCAGCAAAGCAGCAATTTAGCTCAACCACACAACGGCAAGTACTGGTTCCCACAGGAAGTTGCCCCATTTTAGAAGTAAGCAAAGGACAAAAAATTAGTTCCTGCCCAGGCATGCCACCAGCGCCTTGGGCCCCACCAGGGGACTTGAGGCATGGAGCTAGGGACCGGACCTCCCACCCACAACCAGGCACACTGCCAGGGCCTCGAGGCCCACCAGGGGGCCTGAGGCATAGAGCCAGAGACCGGACCCCCCCAACAATCAGGCACAACACCAGTGCCAAGGAGCATGCCAAAAACATCACCTCCATGTGGGTGGCCCACCACAGCCACCACAGTAACTATGGCTGCCACAAAAGTGGCTAGACATCACAACCACCACACAGATGGTCTACCAGCCACTGGAGTGCATTGACACAAAGAAAGTCACCAGCAGAGACCAAAGAAAAGAAGAGGATGTCTCTCTCCATAAAGTCCATTCCAGAGTGACAGAAGAGCATCTGCTCTGTGATAATATTGGGGGACCTGAACACACCTCTCAGTATTGGACAGATCAGCTAGGCAACAAGTGAACAGAGTAACCGGTACTCTTTCAGAGGGAGAGAAGAAACATAGGGCTATCAGTGGCGGCAGGGGGAGAGAGGGATAGGGAGAAATTAGACAAGGGGCATAAAGAATAAGTACAATTTGTAACAATATACATACTGGTAATATTGATTGGATCAACATATGTCAACATTGAATCCCAAAAATACATATAATCAATTATGATTCGATAAAAAAAAAGATAAAAAATAAAAATCTATAAGCACTGGGGAAAAAAAAAAATAGCTGTCAAACTCCCTCCTGGTCTGTGGTTTACTTATACTGTGGTACTCATTGTAAAGGGCCCACCACAGCCTTCCACACCTTGCCAGGATGTGACTCTCCTACACGCTCCTCCATCTTGACACCAGTGGGGTGAGTGGTGCTGGGCAAGCCAGATGGAGCCTAACCCAACAGCCTACGATCAGTTCTTAACGTATAGACTATAGAGTTTCTCAAACCGATTCTTTTAATAGGAAAAAAAATTGTTAAGGCTTATGGCCCTCCAGTGTTGGTTTAAATTAGTCTTACTAAAAAATGTCCAAATATGCAACTAAGAAGACATTTTTTTTTTTTTCCTTTTTGTCTTTTTTCATGTCCGGCAACGGACCGCAACCCTCAGTGTCACGCCCGTACCGGACCGGGACCGGCAACGGGATTGCAGCCCTCGGTGCTGCGCCCGCCCCTCGCTCAGCCAGTGAGCGGGAACTGGTCTGTATGTGGGATCCGAACCCTCGGCGGGAGCGCCACCGCACTCCCAAGCCGCGCACTGTATCAGTGCGCCACCAGGCCGGCCCCATAAGAAGACATTTTTTATGTTCATAGTTGTTATATAACCTCGAAACAAAAGCAAATATACAAATTAAACAGAAAAAAGTTATACTCAAAAAACATTGAAGTTAATGTTGTAGATAGTATTGTTTTGATGAAACCACTTTGCTGCTTGCTGTGTGAATGTGGTATTGGCTGCTTCAACATGTGCTCTTATGATTTTAACATGCCTTTACTGTCTGCTGTGTGAGGGCTCCATTTTCCCATCATTTTTCTCTCCCAGAGCCACCGGGAAATATTTGTTTGTTATGATACTAGAACATAATTTGGCCCCTCTCATTTGGCTTACAAGCATCACTTACTAATTAGACTCTGTTATTTTCTCATTATCCCCCCAAATATGTAGTAAGAACTAAAATCTGCCAATAATGTGCCAATAAGCACCAAAAGGCACAGTAAATACAACTGCATATGTGGTCACTGAAATTGTTCTTGTGATAAAATGATAACATGGAATATGCATATTGTTTTAGATTGTCTTTGAAGTAAATGTTTAATTTAATATAAATACTTTGTAAAGGAGACTTGAGAAGCCCTGAGCAGAGATCAGTGCCCCAGACTGAGGAACACTGTTTTTCTTCATTAATTGCTTTACGTTGGTGAAGATTCTCTACTCAATCATAAGCTCCATGAGGGCAAGTGCTATTTCTTCGTGTCTGCCACCTGATGTACAGTGTTTAGCCCATGGTAGGTGCCTATAGAATGAGTACTGCTCTGACCAGCTGTGGTTCTCTATCCCTTGTGTTCAGATTTTGCATGTAGGTTTGCAGGAATCTACATTTTCTTTGATTGTATTTTTTCTTTCCTTGAACCAGAAAAAAAGAAGAAAAATTGGACTGGATGTACCAGGGCCCTGGTGGCATGGTGAACCGTGATGAGTACCTGCTGGGGCGTCCTATTGACAAATATGTTTTTGAGAAGATGGAGGAGAAGGAGGCAGGCTGTTCTTCTGAGACAGGACTCCTCCCAGGCTCTATTTTTGCCCCATCGGGTGCCAATTCCCTTCTTGACATGGCCAGCAAAATCCGGGAGGACCCACTCTTCATAATCAGGTACTGATGAGGGGATGGGAAGGGGGTTTGTTACAGAGATGCTGTGAGACTCTGCTAAGGCCATTGGTTCTCTCTCCCTGCAGTTGGTTTCCCCTTGGCTTTTATCTGCCATGTAAAAGGATTTGTCTCCATTTGGGCTTCCTGATGTTAGGAAGGAGACTCCATTAAGGGTGCCTGATCTAGGAAAGATACTGGTAAATGGACTAGACCATCCTAGATTTATTCATTTATCTTTGTCCCTTAAACAAAAATAGGAGATAGAAGTAAGGTGAGGAAGATTGGCAGCTTCTTGGAAATGTGGAGATATGTATAGAGTTGGCTAGGTGAGTGAACAGGCCTTCTTACTCCCACCTCTTTTTGGGAGGCAGGCAACAGAACCCTTTAAAAAGAAACTTTAGGATCTTACTTTTAAACCCTAGTATGTAATAGATAAAAGTAGATCTGCGTTTTAGGCGCTAAATGTGATCATCCTGTGCATATTATTATTTGTTTTGGTTTAATTTGCATTCTTTTATTTCTAGTGTGTAAGATTGAACATTGAAAATGTTTATTTACTCTTTTTTCCTTTTGCAAATTCTCTTTAAAGTTATTCATTCATTCATTCATTCATTTTGGCAGCTGGCCAGTACAAGAATCAGGCCCTGCACCTTGGTGTTATCAGCACCATTATTTAACCAACTGAGCTAACCAGACAGCCCCTGAAGCTATTTATTTATTAAAGATACTGTATATTTTGCAAATATTTTGTCCCATTTTGTTAGCGTCTTAATTTATTGTGGTAAAATATGCATTATGTAAAATTTACCATTTTAATCATTTTTAAGTGTACAGTTCAGTGGTATTAAGTATAGTCACATTGCTGTGTAATCACCACCACCATTCATCTCCAGAACTCTTTCATCCCTGTGCACTGAAACTCTATATCCAGTAAACAACAGCTCTTCATTCCCTCTTCCCCCCTGCCCAGCCCCTGGCAATCACCATTCTACTTTCTGTTATTCTGAGTTTGACTAGTTTAGTTACCTCATATAAATAAAATCATACAATTTTGTCTTTTTGTGACTGATTTATTTCACTTAGCATGATGTCCTCAAGATTCATTCATGTTGAAGCATGTGTCAGAATTTCCTTACATTTTAAAAAAAATTGTGGTAAAATACACATAATTTACTAAATCTCTTTTTGGGGGGGTGAGGGCAGCTGGCTGGTATAGGGATCAAACCCTGGACCTTGGTGTTATTAGCACCACGCTCCAACCAACTGAGCTAACTGGCCAGCCCTTAACCATTTTAAGTGTACAGTTGAGTAGTGTTAAGTATATTCACATTATTGTGAAACAGATCTCCAAAACTTTTCATCTTCCAAAACTGAAACTTCATACCCATTAAACAACTCCCCATTTCCCTTTCCCCCCAGCCCCTGGTAACCACCATTCTACTTTTTGTTTCCATGAGTTTGACTGCTCTAGATACCTCACATAAGTGAAATTATACAATATTTGTCTTTTTGTAACTGGCTTATTTCACTTAGCATAATGTCTTCAGGGTTCATCCACGTTGAAACATGTCAGAATTTACTTTTTTGGAAGGCTGAATAATATGTATAATACCGTATTTTGCTTATCCATTCATCCATCAGTGGACATTTGGCCATTGTGAATAATGCTGCTATGAACATTATTAGCATACAAATATTGTGCATATTATTTTATAAACTTCTTTTTTTAACCCAGTCATACATATGAGTATTGAACATGTTTCTGTGTCACTATGTTTCTATAACGTTATTAATGTCTATATTTTATGGATATGCCATAATGTGTTGATATTCTCTTGTTGGTTCTCTAACTTGTTTCCAAATTTTCATTGTTATAATATGAACAACTTTAGTGACCTTCCTTGATTATTTTCTTTCTTTTTTTTTTTTTTTTAAAAAGATGACTGGTAAGGGGATCTTAACCCTTGACTTGGTGTTGTCAGCACCACGCTCAGCCAGTGAGCCAACCGGCCATCCCTATATGGGATCCGAACCCGGGGCCTTGGTGCTATCAGCACCGCACTCTCCCTAGTGAGCCACGGGCCGGCCCGATTATTTTCTTACAGTAACAAATTCTTACGGTAAAATTTGTGAGATCAAAGAGTATGTTCAGGCTGTGATAAGTGTTGCCAAATTGTCCTCCAGGAAGGATGACCAATTTACCTCCTGTGAACAGTGTATGAGAGTAAGCGATGTATTTATTTCCTAGATGGTTATCATGCTAAATAATGGAGGTAGTTTTTGAAATGTTGCAACCAATTGATACACAGGATGACACCCATTTACTTGATCAGTTGGGAAGCCTTGAGCATGAAGCCTAACAAGAAACAGACCAAACTCACTGTCTTGCATAGCAGTACACCAATGTAGACTTTCCCTACAATATGCAATCTCTTACCTAGATATGAGGGAGATTTCTGGCATCCACACCATTGTGTAGATTTTAACAGAGGGCCTGTCTGCATACATTTGGAAAAAAGGTTGCTGCATAGAATTTGGAAAATAGAATGACTTAATCCCCTTTCCAAAAGAAATAGTCATGATTTTTATAATTTCCTGTCTATTTAGGAAGAAGGAAGAGGAGAAGAAAAGAGAGGTATTGAATAATCCCGTGAAAATGAAGAAAATCAAAGAGTTGGTAAGTAGTGCATCAAATAAGCACCAGGAGTATCTTTTAGCTACTTAACATGAGAACTTCTCTCTATTTACTCTTTTTTTTTTTTTTTTTTTTTAAAGATGACCGGTAAGGGATCTCAACCCTTGACTTGGTGTTGTCAGCACCATGCTCAGCCAGTGAGCAAACCAGCCATCCCTATGTGGGATCCGAACCCGTGGCCTTAGTGTTATCAGCACTGCACTCTCCCAAGTGAACCATGGGCCGGCCCTCTCTCTATTTACTCTTAATGTTATGAGAGGGGAAACAGAATTTTTTAAGAATATTTTTGTGTTTTAGAGACCATCTCCTGGTGATTTTATACAGTTGTAATTTATTAAGGTTAATCAAGCTTTATTTTTTCTTTTGCTTTTAATTGGAAAAAGCACCATGTGAGGTCACTTTTCCCAACAACGAGGGGTATGGGAGATCCCTGTGGAAAGCATAATCATGCAGTGTGTTCAAGAGATCAGAGTGTGTCCTTGATTGTGGTATAAAGCTGCTAGGGCCCATTTATCATTCATGTGACATATTATGCAATGTTTTCTTGGATCAATTGGTAAGGAAAATTAAAGATTGACCTTGCAGTCCCTGATTGCTTTCAATGGAGGTGGAGTTGTTTTGACATAGAATGGAAACTCCTAGACAGTGGTTCTGGGGATTGTTTAAAATGCAAATTCCTTGGGCCAGCCCAGTGGCGCACTGCTGCAGTGCGCTGCTTGGGAGCGCAGCGACACTCCCGCTGAGGGTTCGGATCCCACATACAGACCTGCCGCTCACTGGCTGAGCGAGGGGCGGGCGCAACACCGAGGGTTGCGATCCCGTTGCCAGTCCCAGTCCGGTACGGGCGTGACACTGAGGGTTGCGATCTGTTGCCGGTCACGAAAAAAGACAAAAAGAAAAAAAAAAAATAATAATAAATAAATAAAATGCAAATTCCTTGCCTGACCTACCATTGATTCTGTTTAGTAGTAAAGGATGCGTTTATGTGCAACCAGTGTAAGACTCTCCCCCGACCCCCTTTGTTGACAGGAAACCCCTGATAATGTCCTGGACCTCTGCAGACCCAGAGGCATGGAGTCTGTTTGTGCATGACCCAGTCCTCCCACAGGGGACCAACAGGGGTCACAGTAATCTTGTGTGGTTATGTTCTGGGCATTTTCTAGTTGCAAATGAGTCTGGAAAAAAAGGAGAAGAAGAAAAAGAAAGATAAGAAAAAGAAGCACAAGAAGCACAAGCACCGAAGCTTGAGTAGCGATCGTTCCAGCAGTGAGGATGAGCACAGCCGGGGGAGGTGAGCATGTGGAGGCCAGCCTCCCTCACCATTGGTTCTCTTGCTCATTCACTCATTCATTCCACAGGTGTGAACTGAGCACCTGCTCTATGCCAGCAACTGCCAGCTACTGGGTTTTCAGTGGTGAACACTTGGACATGGGCCCTGTGCCCACAGAGCTTGCCATTTAGCACTAGAATTTCTTGGAGATGTGGATGGGTCTCTTGGCATGCTGCTGGAGAGAGACCCCTACTAGAGCTGATGTTAGGCTTGGAGGTATTAGGTCAGACATCCTAGATGTGACTTTCATTTCAACTTACGATTCCTCTAGGACTCAAGTGGGATTTATGTAGGCTTTTTTTTTTTTTTAATGGTTTAATTGGCCCATTCTGCGTGTCTACCCTGTGGGAGCAGCGAGCTCTGTTGCAGCAGGAGGTAAGAAGAGAATGTGTTCGGGTGTGGGGGCTATGAAGCTAGGCCTACGGTATTTCACAGGAAAAACTTGACTGTGCTGATGCATCTCTAGCAAACACAGTCCAAATAGAGAAACACTCTGCCAAGTAATAGCTGGGAGGTGGGAAAGGTCGCTTGGAAGCAGGAAGCAGGTCTCAGCATGAGATTTAAACTGCATCTTTATGCGTTTTCTTTTTCAATGAGTGTGTGTGTTTTAATCTCTTAGATCTCAAAAGAAGATGGCAAATTCTACCCCTGTTTTATCCAAAGTCCCCGGATATGGCTTACAGGTAGGGATATGGGTTTCTTGAGGGGAGTGACTGTGGATAGCAGGCAGTTTGGGCATAAAGCCTGGGATTGCTGGGGGGCAGGACCATTCCTTATCCCTGGGCCTCTTACTGCGGCTGAGGGCCCTCTGAGCAGAGGCTAAAACCATCAATGGAGCATTTAGGCATTCTGCTCATCCCTCTGCAAATAATTTACATGAAATGCACACATTTTAGATACATTTTTGACACATGTACATCCCTCTGTATTTATAACCTTAGGTTCTGTCCTCCATGCTTCTGCCTCTTGCTCTGTAGTGAAGAGCCACGCCATGTGTATTCTTTTAAAGGATTCTAAAGATAACTTTCCTCAGTTTGTATGGTTCTCTTGATAATTCTGTGTGATAGGATTGGTGTGCCCAGTTGGCTCCTTACAGAACCTCATTGCTTATTCATTTCCTGTTTCACTGCATTTTCTCCTGAACCACTGGATTTTCCTATGAATAGCTTCTTTTCTCTTTTTTTCTTTAATGGTATAGGTCAGGGACTCTGACCGTAACCAGAGACTGCAGGGTCCTCTGATGGGCAAGCAAAAGGGAGACCATGGGAGGAGGAACCATTCCAGGTCCAGAAGCTCTTCCCACTCACCCTCCAGACGTGCCAGCAGGAAGAGCACCAGGGAAGCAGGGGCTCAGGACAGGAGGTCACGATCCCCAAGGCCCAGCAAACCGTGAGTGTGGGAATTCACTTGGAAATAACCTAGGACTGTGGGGGCTTGGTCATAGCAGGTGCTAATTGTATTTGCTTTTGGTTGGTGATGTCTGTCCATCGACTTTCCTAAATGTCTTTGCTTTGCTATTTTCTTTACATCATTTTTTTTTAATGTAAAGCTCAGTCCCCTAGAACCACATATTTGTAGGTATGTATTGTGCTAGTGGAATTGCTGGCGTGAGTTTAATATCAAATCTTTTGTTTTTGCTGTTGTTGTTTTGCTATTTTATTTATTTATTTATTTTTGGTGGCTGGCCAGTATGTGGATCCAACCCTTGACCTTGGTGTTATTAACACCACACTCTAACCAAGTGAGCTAACCAGCCAGCCCCTAATATCAAGTCTTATGTATCCCTGTGCCTTTATTTTTCTTCCACTTTGCCCTCTCTTCTGTTGGATTATAGTTCTAAGATAATTAGCTCATCTCTCGTTGTTTGAGGGATTATTATAAACCCCTATATTGAAAAGGCTTTTCCCCTCTTTGCCCTCCGTGTCCATTACAGGCACAACTCTAAGGTAAACAGAAGAGAGAGAGGCGAAACTAAGAGCCCATCACCTAAAAAAGAGGTCTACCAAAGGCGGCACACTGCTGGATATACCAGGTAAGTCAGGAGCCCAGTAGATTAACTTCAGTTTCTGCAGGCTGAGTCTGAATGTGGCTCAAACCACGGCACATGGGTAACTGATGCTACCTCTTTGCCAAACCAACTTTTATTTATCTTGTTTACTTTTAACGGTTTTTTTCCCCCCACCCAAGATGAGGCACATTGAAAGAACGAAGTAAATAGTTTTGACTTTTTAGAAATAATTGATTTTTTTTTTTTTAAGATGACCGGTAAGGGGATCTTCACCCTTGGCTTGGTGTTGTCAGCACCACACTCTCCAAGTGAGCAAACCGGCTATCCCTGTATAGGGATCCGAACCCGTGGCCTTGGTGTTATCAGCACCACACTCTCCCAAGTGAGCCATGGGCCGGCCCTAAAAATAATTAATTTTTTTAATTGTACATTCTATGGAGTACAGATTGTTGTTTCAGTACAAGCATATATTATTTAATGATTCAATCACAATAGTTAGCATATCTATCACCTAAACATTTATCATTTATTTGTGGTTATAAAATTCAAGATCCTCGGGCCGGCCCGTGGCTCACTCGGGAGAGTGCGGTGCTGATGGCACCAAGGCCCCGGGTTCGGATCCCATATAGGGATGGCCGGTTCGCTCACTAGCTGAGCGTGGTGCTGACAACACCAAGTCAAGGGTTAAGATCCCCTTACCGGTCATCTTTTAAAAAAAAAAAAAAAAAATTCAAGATCCTCTTTTCTGGCTATCTTGAAATATACAGTAGGATATTATTAGCTATAGTCACCGTAGAGCACCAAAATTCATTCTTCCTATCCGACTGTAACTTTGTAACTTTGAACATCTTTACCAACCTCTCTCCATCCCCTTCCACTTCCTCTGCCTCTGGTAACCACTATTCTGCTCTCTCTTTCTCTCTTTCTTTTCTTAATTGATTCATGATAATTGTATATATTTATGGAGTACAATGTGATATTTGGGTACATTTATACTGTGTGCAATGATTATATCAGGGCATTTAGCATATCCATCACCTCAAACATTCATCACCTGTTTGTGTTAGAACACAAAATCCTCTCAACTAGCTACTCGAAGTTATACAGTAATTTGTTGACTATAGTTACCCTATATTAAATAATTGTGACTGAATGATCAGTTAAGTGACTATCTCTCACCATCTGTAAACACATTAATTCTCATAGAGATTTCCACAGAGAAGGTTTTCTTAAAAGAGTGTTCCTTTCTTGAGGCATCAGCTGGAAGGGAAGCAGGATGCTCTCTTTGAGGGTAGACATCCTCAGAATTTGTGTTCTTTTTTTTTTGTCCTGTGTTGGCTGGCTGGTACATTCTTAGAGTTTGAGTTGGGTGTGGAGTGGATCTGACAGAGCACAGGCATGTGCAGCCCTGGGACCTCAGTAGAGGTGGCTGTGCCCATGAAAGACTGTCCTTGGGGGTCTAGGTTGCTCTTAGAAATTGAGATGAGGACTGGCCAGTTACCTCAGTTTGTTAGAGCATGGTGTTATAACACCAGGGTCAAGGGTTCAGATCCCTGCACCTACCAGCCACCAAAAAAGAAAAGAAATTTAGTTGAGGTGGGCAACTTTTGTGAACTTCCTGTGTGAACTGCTTCATGGGATGTATAGACCAACATTTCCAAACACATTGTCTGTACATTAGAATCACCTGGGAAGCTTAAAAAAAATCCTATTACCCAGCTATACCTCAGCCCTATTATGTTTTAATCTCTGAGGGTGGACCAGACATCAGTATTTTTAAAGCTCCCCAGTGATTCCAACATGCAGCCAATATTGAGAACCAAGCTGTTTCATTCACTATGTTGTTAGAAGAAAGATGGACCCTAGTGTCTTTTTTAACTCTTAATTGCCTGATTCCAGAGCATGGTGCTGATAACACCAAAGTCCAGGGTTCCAACCCTGTACTGGCCAGCCAAAAAAAAAAAAAAAAAAAAAAAAAATTCCCGGTTCCCTAAGTTTCCAGGGAACAGAAACTTTTTTAAAGGTTTAATTATTTTGACTGGCAACTTTCCAAAATATGTTACCTATTTCTCTGCCTTACCAGGGAGTATATGCCATATCCATATAACTTAATCTTTTATCGGTGACATGGGGTCAGTTCTTCAGCTGAACTGTAATTCATGCTTTCCTTAGGGATTCTCATGGGGGCATGCATTTTTATATTTATATTTTAAGGCACGTGACTATGCTCTTTAAGATTTTGCTTTCTGTTTTTCTGTCTCTGTTGCCATCTGCCATCTTGAATTTGTCTAACTTTGTCAGCCCTTTTTTTTGTTTTGTTTTGGGTGGTTGGTCAGTATGGGGATCCAAACCCTTGACCTTGGTGTTTTAACAGCCCTGTCAGCCTTTCTTATCTCCCTTAGAGATAATTCCTTTGTTGAATTTGTGATTTAAAACAAGTTAGAGCCCCCAAGACCTCTTTCTTCCAGGAGTAAAAACACAGACACTTTAATGCATGGATTTTGCGATATCATTCTGTCTGTTTAAAGGTCTGTTTGGGTGTTGTGTTCCAGGTAGTTGAGGTTGTTTTATATAACTAAGCGGATGCCGAATTAAAACAAAAAAGAAAAATTGTGGCAGTAAAACCTTTCTTAGCAATTCAGGGCTATTCAGTTAGTGTTTCTCAGATCAAGAGGTATTGAATATTTCCTCAAGGGCCTGAGACTACTGTGAGAATTAAAATATTTTGGGGTTTTCTTCTGTGTGTGCGTATGTGTGTATTTTAATTGGTGGTCTAAAACAACTTATTAGTTGAAAAGATAAGTTTTCTTCTCTCTTTTTTTAAAGTTTTTTTTAAAGGCTAGTCAAGTGACACAGTGGAAATGGAGAAGGAACAAAGAAATCTGCAACTGGTTGTCATCAATTAGTTGTAAATACCACTGTACTTGGACTCACGGAAGCTTTTCATTTGCAGTGAGATTCTCAATTTAAAGTGATTTTTATAGACTAAGACTGTTTTTTTCTCTTAAAGTTTCTTTGACTTATGGGATTCTCATTTAATTTATATTATATTTCATAGCTTTCTAAGTTTCTTACAGGCAGTATAACACTTTTATAATTAAAAAATATACATACTCAAAACAAAACCCACTACTATCAGGTTATACCCCAGAAGTGGCTAAAATTCCTGTTGGGCTTGTAAACTACCCAGAACAAAAGTGACAGTAGGAGAGAGAAAGTGGAGTTATTTATTATTCTTGCATTAATTTCTGCAATATGGAGGCACAATTTAAAGAAATTTTTTTTGGTGGTTGGCCGGTGTGGGGAACCAAACTGTTGTTAATTGTTTTGATCAAATAATACCAACACATATTTTTATTTTTATTTTTATTTTATTTATTTATTTATTTATTTTTTCCCTTTTTGTCTTTTTTCGTGTCCGGCAACGGATCGCAACCCTCAGTGTCGTGCCCGTACCGGACTGGGACCGGCAACGGGATCGCAACCCTCGGTGTTGCGGCCGCACCTCGCTCAGCCAGTGAGCGGGAACCGGTCTGTATGTGGGAACCGAACCCTCGGCGGGAGCGCCGCCATGCTCCCAAGCGGCACACTGTAGCAGTGCGCCACCGGGCCGGCCCAAAACTATGCCCTAAGTCTTTTTTTTTTTTTTTGTCCTTTTTTGAGACCAGTAAGGGGATTGCAACCCTTGGCTTGGTGTTGCCTGCACCGCACTCAGCCAGTGGGTGCACCGGCCATCCCTATATAGGATCCGAACCCGGGGCCGGAGCGCTGCTGCGCTCCCAGCACTGCACTCTCCTGAGTGAGCCACAGGGTTAGCCCCCAACACATATTTTTAAAAGTCAAATAGTATTAAAAATTTTATAACAAGGGCCGAGCATGTGGTGCACTCGGGAGAGTGCAGCGCTGGGAGCGCAACAATGCTCCCGCTGCGGGTTCAGATCCTATGTGGGAGTGGCCGGTGCCACCGGCTGAGCGCGGTGTTGGCAACACCACACCAAGGGTTGCGATCCCCTTACTGGTCATGAAAAAAGACAAAAAAAAAAAAAGTTAAGAAAAAAAAATTTTATAACAAAAGCCAGCAGTTCTTTGCCCTGCCTGATCCCACTCACAGTCATGTTGCCCAGAGGCAACCACTTTCAACTTTTTAAGCTGTTTCTTTTGGCAGCTACATATTTCTAAAAGTATGCATATGTTGCTGTCCCTTAATTCATCAATTTTATTTTATTTTATTTTATTTTTATTTATTTATTTATTTATTTATTTTTTGTCTTTTTTCGTGTCCGGCAACGGACTGCAACCCTCAGTGTTGCGCCCGTACCGGACCAGGACCGGCAACGGGATCACAACCCTCGGTGCTGCGCCCGCCCCTCGCTCAGCCAGTGAGCGGGAACCGGTCTGTATGTGGGATCCGAACCCTCGGCAGGAGCGCCGCTGCGCTTCCCAAGCGGCGCAATGTAGCAGTGCGCCACCGGGCCGGCCCAATTTTATTTATTTATTTTATTATTATTATTTTTTTTTTTAAAAGATGACCGGTAAGGGGATCTTAACCCTTGACTTGGTGTTGTCAGCACCATGCTCAGCCAGTGAGCTAACCGGCCATCCCTATATGGGAACCGAACCCGTGGCCTTGGTGTTATCAGCACCGCACTCTACCGAGTGAGCCACGGGCTGGCCCCTAATTCATCAATTTTAGACATTAGATATTTTCTCACTGTTCCAGTAAATGATGTCTGAGAGTAAATGAGCTCACATACACTCCCAATTCTTTTTCTTCTCCCTCCATCTTTCCATTGTGGTTATATCACAATTTTTGGTTTAGTCAGTGTGTGGATTCATATTATTATGATACATAAATAGTGTTCACTCATACTTTTAATTGCTAAACCAAGCAGAATGCTGGGATTATATTTCCTTTCTTTTTTTTTTTTTTTTTTTTTTTTTTTTTTCTGACTGGCTGCACCGAGCTCAGCCAGTGAGCGCACCGGCCATTCCTATATAGGATCCGAACCCGTTGCGGGAGCGCTGCTG